AGAATAGGACCTAGAACCGTAAAGACATATATATATATATATATATATATATATATATATATATATATATATATATATTATAAAAAAAAGAAATATTTATTCGACTTCAAAAATAAAATAAGATAAAGATAACTGTGGAGTCGACAATTAACTCATCGAGCACAGCCACCTTAACAATAAAAGAAACAAAATATAAATGTCATTTAAAAGTTAAAAACGTTTTTTCTGTTTATAAATTATGTGTGCCTAGTAATATTTCTAATGTTCGTTTTCAAAGTCATTCTGTTTATTAAATCACATTGAAAGCCTTTTTTCAGAATGTCCTTCCAGGTTCTGTGTCCTTTCTGGTTTTTTCAAAGCTAAGATTTTCGGTCAAGTCAAATAATTGTTGAGCGTGGATTTGACTTTTTGATTATGTTATTGTACGCTCTCTTCATCGGATTGTTGGTGTTTATCGATTTGGTGATGCTTTTGTAGGTGTCTGCCGTGTTGCGATGTACAGAGAACACATTGATTTGTTTAATATGTTCAGTACGTTTTTTTGGTATGTAGAATTTTATTTTGTTTATCAAAGCAATTGTTTTTGCCATTTCACTACAAACATTTTGTACACGTGATCGAAAGGTTAATTTGTAATCTAGATTGACTCCCAAGAGTTTAATTGTTTTATTTGCATTAATTTCTACTCCATTTATTAAAATTTTAAATGGTGACTTGTAACTTAACTTTTGAATTGGACCAAATATAAGTAACTGAGTTTTTCCATTGTTCAGTGTCAATTTACTGTATTCTAACTAGAAAACACCACGTTTGATTTCACTGCTGATGTCTGCGATTAATTTGTCAATGTTCATGCCAGAAGTGAAGAGATTAGTGTCGTCGGCGAAACATGCACATTGCTGAGACATTTGGCCTATCGTTGATGAACACTATGAAAAGAAGAGGACCTAAGATGCTTTCCTGTGGTATGCCAATGATATTTGTTTTAGTTGCTGATTGTTGATTTTGCCAGTAGACAAACTGATTTCCTTCGCTCAAATAATTTTGAAACCATCTCAGTTGAATGCGCTGGCACTTAGCCACGTTTTTTTAAATGAAGGGGGCACATTTTTTTGTGGTGGGCAACTTTAACAGTTATTTCATTTCACATTTTATATTATTTTCTGCAAAATATCAGTAACAACAATAAAAATAATTGTTAATAATAATTATAAAAAGATTTTTTACAAACTTTTGTTTTTTCAGTTTGTAAAACAGTTCATTATTTAAAATTAATCTTAAAAAATCACAATTATTTCAATTGTATCCTATTGTTTCAGAACGCTACCAGTCCACATTTTTGCAAAAGAAAAATACCACACATACAATACTGATTTATCAAAGTTATCGCATGAACAATGAAATTACTATATATTATTTATACCTTGTAAGTGTCTAATAGTTTTATCTATTTAGTAAAATTGTATTTTTCTATTCTTTTCTTTTGTGAGTCATCGACATTCTCCGACGTCTGTTAATTTGTGTGAGAGAAAATTTTGACTTACACATTGCTGTACTGCAAGCAAAAATTTGACCGATGATAGCAAGCTAAAAAAATTTTCAAAAGCTTGAAAATTTCATTGAAAAAATTATGCCTTTCAATGTTTTTTTTCTTAAGGAAGTGTTTAGCTACATTCATTTCTTCTCTGCTTGAAGTGATAATATTGTACTTTTAAAATAATTTTGCTCTTTATGATCCAAACTTTCTGATGCATGTATTGCTAGTCGAATAGCATCATCATCCATTTTAAATACTTTAATAAAACAAACGGTAAAACATAAGACAAAACGCAGGGCGCTGACAAATTGTAAAAATAAGTTTTCAAAAAAAAAATTTTACAGAAAAATTTCCAAAAATTTGATATTTGTGAAAAATTTCCAAAAATTTGTGAAAAAGTCATTACGAACGCAAAATTTTATAGTAAATGTAGTTTAAATAAAAGTATTTCATATTTAAAATTATTTATTAAAAAAAAACATTATTAATTTGTTATGAAATTTTAGTGTGGGAAAACCGGTATTCTAGGGTTGTTATTGCCTCCACCCTTCTGGCTACGACCCTGATGCCACGTATTCCGTAGTGTTTTGCAGAAGAATACAATCAATACAATTGAATACCTTTAAGAGATTGAAACAAGTGCCGACAATGAATTTTTGTTTTTCGGCTGCTACGCCTATTTTTCTTATCAGTTCAGCCATTGCTAATTCAGTTGAATTACTCTCTCGAAATCCGAAATGTGATTCATTTAGTATTTTATATTTTTGTAAAAAAGAAATCAACTTTTTATACATTAATCTTCCAACTATTTTAGAAAAATTTAATAAAAGTGCAACTGGTCGATAATTTGTCATATCGTTATTGTTTGCGTTTTTTTAAAATGAGGATTATTTTTTAAATATCTTGGAAAAATGCCTGTGTTGAAGGAACGATTTAAGTAAATTTCAATTTTGGGTGCAAATGTGTGAATTAATGATTTTATTATTATTTTATTATTTTTATCATCCCAACCGGTTGATGATTTTGGTTTGAGGAGTTTTGTTTTTGCCATGCTTTCTTCACATGTGGTTGATAAGCCAAAAAATAAATTTGACAATTTGTTTGTTAAATATGTTTTTCTAATTAGTTGAACCGGTAAATGATGAAATCTGGGGCTATATTGATGAAGTAATCGTCCAAATTGTTTGCAGAATCGCTGATAATTTGGTTGTCAGATATAATTGCTTTGTTGTTTTATGATTTTTAATAATACTGTTGATGATGGACCATGTTCTTTTATTATCTTTGTTTTTGTGAATGTTTTACTAACTTAACGAAGGAATGACTGGTTTGTTTATATTTAAGCAAATTTTCGATTCTAGGGTTTTAACATAGATTTTATGAAATTTTTTTTTCTTTTAAAATAGCAAGTTATCCATGGCTTTTCAATATTCAGTTTTTATGCATTTCGCAGTAAAGTTATTTGACAATATTTATTGAAACTTGATGCATATATTTGAAAAAACAACTGAAATGTGGAATTTGTATTTTCACAATTTAAAACATCCGACCATTCATTTAATTTGCCTATTCTTTCATTCATAAAAAACACCTTTTTTCGGTATTTTTGCTCGGTGATTTTATTAATTTGTTGATTAACTATTGCAAAAATTGGGAATTGATCAGATAGATCGTACAGTTGAGCTCCGCAAAATTCGACGTTTTCTGAATCATTCGCAGAGATATTGACAATGATCAAATGTTTGGTTAAACTTAATCCAGTTGGTATGCTGATCAGGGGTTTTAAATCATAAGATGCAACAATTTGTAGAAGTTTGTTAACATTTGAATCAGCTTCAAGTATACTAATAATTTAATCTCTCATTAGATAAAACAATTTATTCTCAAAACTCAACTTATGTAGAATTCATTGCAACTGTTCAAGGGACGTTTCGGCATCATAATTTGGGTGACGATATATGGTCAAAGCTATCGCGTTTTTAAATGAGTCCTTTAATATTGTTATACCAAATATTTCAAATTTATCGCCAAAATTATTTAAATCTTTCCTTATTTTAAAAACAATGTTGCTATCTACATAAAAATCAGCGCCACCACCATGCTTACCATACGTTTTTCCCCACAAAATCAAAACCATCAATATTTATCAACCTGTTGTTACTATCATTTAACCAAGTTTCAATAATTCCAATTAAATTAAACTTAAAAGAGAAAAGATTTATATATTCAAATGAATCTTCTGATTTATTAACTAAACATTAAATATTACTTACATGTATGATATTAAAAAGAGTTTTTAGATTTTTTAAATTTAATACATCTGTACAAATCGTTTATTTTTTTTTAAATTTTCATAAATTTTGCAATTGTTATTAACATAAATGTCTGTTGGAACATCGAGTTTATTCATTGCCGTTTTTACTTGTGACTGCATATGCTGACAAATCGTCGAAACGTCACTCACGAAATATTATTTGCTTTGGTCAATTTTCTTTTTTCTTTTACTTAGCAGATTTTTTGTCATAAATACCCATTAGGAAGGCAGAACTTGTCTGTTGAACGTCGATTTTGTCAGCATTGGTATCTTATGTGTTGTTCGATGTTGTAATTTGTTTTGAGCGACAATTAAAGATCGAGTTTTTTATTGGTTAGCAACTAATCACCTCAATTTTTAATCCATCAATATGCTTTTATAACTCTTTTGAGGTGCTTTGTTGATCCAATCGATCAATGTAGAAAACTTTTTTTGGCAATGACGTCATTGCTTTCGAATTATTAAAACTAAATATGTTTGGAACTGATTTATGTAAACCTATTTCTATTATATAAATTAACATTTCCAGGGCAGACTATTCATTGTTTAGCCTCTTCTTTATCCGCTTTACTTGCTTGAAGTTGACGTTTAATTTTGGGTATAATTTCATTTTCTTCTAGTTCATCAAACGTGTTTGTAAGTTTTGGTATCAGCTTTGAAAGTTCTTCTATTTCTAATCTAAGATGTGATAATTGAATGGCGGCACTGATTCTATTCTTTTTCTAAGATTTTGATACAAATTATCAAGTGACGGATATATAGATCGTCATAGGACTCAAAAGGTTGCAGTAGTCTAACCATTGTTAAAAAAATCGAGTATGGCAAGCAATGTTGTGGCCAGTTGCAGACATTTTCAAACCTCACTTTCATCTCTAAAATTGTTGAACTAACATCGCTTGTGAACTTTTCGTCAATCGCAACAACAACTTTTCTATCTCTAATCTTAAATGTGATGATTGAATGGCGGCAAATTTTGCATATACATTTTGCATTAATTCTATACTTTTCCTAAGATTTTGATACAAATTATCAAGTGATAGATACATAGGTCTCAAAAGGTTGCAGTAGTCTAACCCCTGTTGAAAAAATCACGTATGGCAAGCAATATGGCCAGTTATGTGATGTTTTATGTTTTATTTAATATAAATTCGATTCAACACAAGTGTGCGTTACGATATCTCCGTTCATTTTATTATCGTCCCAAAGATACTAAATACATAAAGATGCATATGTCACATCTCCCCTTTTAAAAGTTCAATTTTATTGTTTTTATTTAATACAAATATTTAATTAAGAACATAGTCCTTGAATCTAACAGGGAGTTTTGATGAACGACTACTTCGTGTCCTCAGGATGGATTCTTGGGAAGACTGTGTGGTGTCATCTGTTGGACTGTTGCACTGAGGGTGAATTGGGGATTCCAACCTTTGTGGTTGTGTTGTTTCTAATGGTGAAAAATGATCTGTGCTATCATCCACTGGTGGTGCGCATATAGGTGAATCTTCTTTGGTGTAGACGAGATCTCTTCGGTTCCGTCTTAAAGTTGAACCATCCTCTGTGTCAACAATGTATGATCTTGGAGCTTGATGTTTAAAACGAACAATTCCACGTTTCCATGTTTCATTGTGATTCATACGTACTACATCTCCTTTGTTCAAACTTAGAAGAGGTTTCGATTTACGGTCATAATACTTTTTTGTTGTTGCTGTCTGTAAACTAGATTATCTCTTGCATCTGCGACTTTGGGAAATTGTAGAAAATTTAGTTTGCTGCATGATGGCAGTCCTATCAGTGTCGGGGCATTGCTATTAATGATATAACATTCTATAAAATTTCAACAACTGATGATCCTAGAGGCTGAAGTTTTCCACTGCCATAAGGTTTAAGAACTGTGTTGGTCTTTGTTAGCTTTGATCTTTTAGGAAGTTTTTAAAAACTGTTTTTGACATGACGTTGACTTCAGCACCTGTGTCTAATTTGCATCTGACTTTCATGCCATTTAGATATAGTTCTTTCCACCAACAATTTTCCTGATTCGCAGTGCAACTATGTATGGCTAATTCACCAATGACGAAGCTGTTTATATCTTCTTCAACTGCATGAATCGATGATCTAGATGATGGCGATGCTGAACGTGAATGGTTGTCTGTAAATATTTTTAAATTTTTATTTTTTCCTTTGTTTGACAAGTTGGTGGATTTACACATCTTACCAAAATGGTTTTGTTTTAAACATCTGTAACATTGTTTTCCAAATGCTGGGCATTGTTTCATAGGATGAATTGTGCCGCATCTTTCACAGCCATGTTTGTTCATTTTGTCATTATTTTGGTCTTTTTTTTGCCAGACCTCACAGAGTTTATTGTTGCTGGTAACTCGTCACCTTTTATGGTTTTTAATTGTTTTCGAGTAACCTCAGCAGCTCTGCATAATTGAAGGGCCTTTGTGAGAGGCAATTCCGGTTCTCTCAACAATCTTTCCTGAAGATATGCATTTGCACAACCCAAAACTACTCTGTTACAAATCAATGACTCCTCCTGTTCACCAAATTCACATGATTTGGTTTGGAGACGTAGCGTGGTTACAAATGAATCTACCGGCTCATTTGTGTCTTGTAAGGTTTTCCAAAATTGGTACCTTTCAAAAACAACGTTTTTACGTGGTGTCAAATTTTGCTTTTACTGCAATTATTCTATCTTTGTTCTCTGGCGGGTCAAAAGTTAATGCGTCGAAAATGTGAAGTCCCTCATCACCAATCCAACTCAGAAACATCGTAACTTGTACCTTTTCTGGAAGCTGGTCCGATCGAGAATAAAGAAAAAATAGCTCAAATCTCTGTATCCATACTTTCCAGCTCTTTTCAACATTGACTTAATCGAACTTCAACGCCGGAGGCGGTTGAAAACTTTTAAAAACGTCAGTCTTTTTGATAAATTTATTTATAAAACTTATACCATCGTTTAAACATTTATTTTTACTATATTTGATATTTAAACAATTGTCGACTGCGCCATGTGATGTTTTATATGTTTTATTTAATATAAATTTGATTCAACACGAGTGTGCGTTGCGATATCTCAGTTCATTTTATTATCGTCCCAAAGATACTATATACATAAAGATGCATATGTCACAAGTTACAGACCTTTTTTTTTCTAACTCACTTTCATCTCTAAGAATATTGTCAGCTTCTCGTCTATCTCAACAACAACTCACTGCTTCAAAAGGTTCAGTCAGGTTCTCGTCGAGCACATTCAACAGAGACAGCGATATTGAAAGTGTTTTCTGATGTCTGTGATGCTGTTGACGCTGGTAACATTGCATTGCTTACACTCACTTCTTAATGTAAGCGCTGCATTCGACCCAATAGATTACCAGTTTTTGTTGAAACGACTTTCAACTTCATATGGTATTGTAGGAGATGCATTTAAATGGTTTCAGTCCTACCTAGCAAACGGGACTCAAGTTGTATGTGTTGGTGATGATGATTCAAACACTGCCTCTTCAGAGGTAACCATTAGTGTTTTACAGGGTCTTTGGTTCTCTGTCATACATCATGTTCACTGCTGATATTGCCAACGTCTTGGAGACAGCAGACCTTCATTGTCACTTTTATGCCGACGACATTCAACTATATGGATTTGAACTGCCAAAATCATCAAATCATGTAAATGCTACTGTGTCTGATGTGAACGCAGTGGGAAATTATATACTATCAAACAGGTTGAAACTCAACATTGACAAAAGCAATATATGTGGATGGAAACATCACATGGTCTTGGTCACATAAATTAATTTAAAGATCCAGTAACTAATCTCGGTGTTATACTAGATTCAGACTTATCAATAGAAAGTCGTATAAAAAAAACTTTGCGTCGATGTTTTATCAGCTGCACAAAATTAGATCGATTAGATGTTATCTGACCGTTGAATCAACAAAATGCTTGCTTGTAGTTTAATTTGTAGCAACGTTGATTACTGCAACGCGATAATATACGTGATCAAACTATCCCTTCGTGATGACATGCAGTCTATTTTTACGCTGCTGTTAGATTGGTGACGGGGTATTTGAAGTTCGGCTCAATTTCGGCTTACATCAAAGATGAGCTACATTGTTTTGTTCAAATTAAGCTTTTAACTCTGTGGCTCGTCTAGTTGTTCGTGCCCCTTTCTTTTCTCATATATCTCCATATCTTGTTCTTTTGCACTGGCTACCTATGAAATATAGAATAATTTTTAAAATTTGCACATTTATATATAAATCTCTATCTAAATTATTTTCTAAGTACTTATCAGATATATTTATTGAACCTAAACGCCCCAGTTTACGATCGTCGTCTTCTTCTCGCTTCTTTTTAACTCGTGTTAAACACTTTTTTGCTAAATCTGCTTTTGCTTTTTCTGGCCCTTTTCTCTGAAACACTTTACCTACTTTTCAGACTACTTCTCCATCACTTACGAAGTTCTGAGAAAATCTCAAGACCCATCTATTTGCAAAATTCATTGAGGAGCGCTGTTGAACAATCTGGAAATAGCGCTTTACAAGCTAATTGATTGATTGATTGATTGATTGAGCTTTCATTGTCAAAAATTTACTGGCCGCGATGCTTCAAGTTATTGGAGAAAAAAACAACAATTAGTATCTGAAGTTGCGAACCGAAAGAAACTAAGATCTTCCGATAATGGAGATCTTGTGCCTTCAAAATTCAATTCATTGCGCGTCGGTAAAAGAAGATTCTCATTATTGTCAGCACAAATTTGAAATGATCTACTTGTAGAACTAAAATTTATTGACAGCACAACCCGAAAGGTTTTCAAGAAGCGTTTAAAAATCATCTGTTCAACAATCCACAGCGAAGCTAGTGCTTTTTAGGTTCTTTCAAAAGGTACGGTATACAGTTCATGCAATACAATGCACTACAATACAATACAATTTTGACTTCAATGTTAAAGCTTCATCTTTAACCTCTTCCGCAGGCATAAGCTTTTTTCGACTTTTTCGGCCCATTTTTTTCATAGGTATTTCCATTTCTTCACAAATTTACAAAAAACAAAAGTTATGGCTCGGCCACTCGCGTCCAATCGATGTTGTGCATGGCCGGTCAAACACGACTGCAGTATACACAAAAAATTCGCAAGTGAAATTGAATCAAGTGACCAAATGGTTATTATTGAACAATTAGACACTAAACTACAGTTACATTCAATTACGAATAAATAACTGAACGTTCAAATATGCAAAATTAATAACACATTCGAACGAACAATTTAACGTAAATGAAAATAATTAAACTCTAAAAAACAATCACATGACCGCACACTGTTAACAAAATTAAACTTTTAAACAAATACTAATAAGTTAAACGCACATACGAATATAGAGCAAACAAACTTCAAACGCACGTACACGCACAATTAAACAAACTAAACAACCTAACGTAAACTATAAATGAAACAGTGAAATACAAAATCTCTAAACACGACAATGACTACGCAATAAATTGGAAGTTAACTAATGCCGAACATGCTGTAATTTTCATCGATAATTGCATTTCTGACAGTCCTAATCCAATATATATATATATATATATATATATATATATATATATATATATAGGATTTTGTCGTCTATACGGTTATTAAGAAATATCACCGCACTTTCCGCATTGTTGAGTTTGTAACTAAGTTTTTCAATTTTTCGAACAATTAAATTTATTCGAATTAATAATAAAATTTCTAATTATTTTAGATTGCATTTTTCTTATTTACATAAAAGCTTTTTTCGATAACCTTTACCATCGTCAGTGTTATAGAGTTTGTTATATTGTTATATTTAGTTCATCCGGTATTTATAGTATTTTTAACAAAGGAACTCTAAGTTTCATTGTTTCTTTGTGTGAGTAATTTCTTTGTTGGTAGAATCGTTACAGCCTGTTGTTGGATGTTTATTACAGGGTTTCTATTTTCTATTAATAAGGCCTCTGCCATTTTCAAATTGCTTATATTATGGTTGTAATATAACGCTTTGGTATTTGAGTTTAATATTTCTCTTGTTACTTTTATTTGGTGTAAATCCATTAGATGATTTTTTATTGCACCATTTTGTGTATGCATTTTTAACCTTCTTGATAAAGTCGTAGTAGTAAATCCGATATATTCTCTGCTTCGGTGCCTACAATCACCGATTTTACAATCAATAGAATATACTAGATGATTGTTCTTTATTATCGATTCTGGTTTAATATTGCAATTATTTTTAAGAAGAAGGGATGAGGTTTTGTTGTTTGTGTAATAAATCCTAAGTTTTAATTTATCAATTTAGTTGATAGTTTTTACATTACCGTTTAGAATCCTTTTTATTATTTTCTCATCGGTCTTATAAGCTTTCGACATCGTATTTTTGTAATAAAGTATTATGTCATTTGTTGTTTTATCATAGTTACTTTTGTTTGTAACGTCACGTTCTTTTTTTCTAAATATTTTTATCAATAAATGTTCTTTTGTAACCATTGTTAATTGGCATGTTGGTTATCCGCTTGAGTTTAGTTACTCTATCCACTGGATCTGTGGAATGTGTGAAGGCTCGATTAACAAATTCACACATTCTACAGATCCAGAGGTTAGAGTAACTGAACTCAAACGGATAACCAACATGCTAATTAACAGTGTTTACAAAAGAACATTTACTGAAAAAAATTTTGAACAATTATTTTATCAATATTATTCATCAATAATTGCCATCTAAATTCATTTTGACAAAGTCAATATTTTCTTATATAAACAGCAAAAAGCGCTGATGATGATTCATTCGAAATCGAAATATGGAATTTGCAGCATGAATTCGGAAAATAAGTTTATTTTGAATTTTAATAAAATAAACGTTCACCAAAAAACTTTAGTGAGAAAAAATGAAAAAACGAACTACAAACATATTTACGCCAAACATTCGGTAGAATTTATAGAATATTGTAAAAACTATGGTCTATTACCGATATATGAGTCATGTTGACGTGCACAGCCGTCAAAGGGGCAATTAAATTCATATAATACGTGGTTACGCCTTAGCACAGAGTTATCTCTACGACTACAGTTGTTTTTCAGTATTAGGTGAAACGTCTTTTCATTGTTGTAATATATTCGGAGTTTAACTTTATTATTTGGGTTGGTTGGTGTGACATTTTTATTGATGATATATTTAAAAATAGCTTCATCTACTTTGTATGCAGTTGACATGTGATTTCTGTAATACAAGATGATGTCGTTATCTTGATTGTTGGTACTAGGAAGGTTATTGTTGTGTAGTAATTTGCCTTTAA